CCTAAAGCCCCAGGCGATAGTTGTATGTCATAGTTGCACATTCTTCTAGTTGCTGTATGTGGGACGCGGCCTCAGCATGGCTGGAGAAGCAGTGCGTCTGTGCGCGCCCGGGATCCGAACCCAGGCCGCCTGCATCGGAGCGCACGCACTTAACCGCTAAGCCATGGGGCCGGCCCATATTCATTCATTCTTTAACACACACTTATGTAGCACTTACTATGGGCTAGATATTATTCTATGTTTTTTTTCAATAGACACATTTAATCCCATAACAGCCTGATGAGGTAAGGCCTATTATTATCCCCATTTTACAGATGAAAAAACTGAGGCCCAGAGCGATCAAGTAACTTGTTTAAGGTCACACAGTTAGGGCTCGAATAAAAACTAAGGAATTTTGGCCCAAGTCCACGTTCTTTACACTAAAATATGCAGCCAGTGTTTGAATCTACCTCCTACCAGCTGCAGGACTGTGAACAAGATACTGTCACAATAGCCTGATGTATAAAATAGGGTTAATAATAGTACCTAACCAGTGGGATTGTGGTGACCCCGAAACCATTCACAAAACTCTCAGAATGGCACATGGAATATTTCCAGTCATGTTGATGGGCTGCGTGGAAACCCACGGAGGGACTGAGGTGGGGTTGTGTTGGGCAGTGGACAAAGACATGGGTGAAGCTTGGGTACAGGATGCGGAAGAACCTGGTGCGGACAGGATGGGGCTCAGATGGAGATGGTCACAAGTGTGTCACCCTGAGTTCTGGAGTCAGGGATGATCTGGGTTCACCACTTCCTAGCTGTGTGTGCTACAAGAAATTGCTTAGCCTCTTGGCCCAGTTTCCTTACGTTTATAATGGAAACAATAACACTCCTTCCTTCCAGTGTGTGTGTAAGGATAAGGGTTATCAGATGGAACACAGGCTGCCCAGTTAAATCTAATTTCAGATAAACAACAAATACTTTTTTAAGCCTAAGCACACCAAATATATCTCACAGAACATACTATGCAAAAAAATATTACTCGTTGTTTATCTGATATTCAAATTTAACTGGGAGTCCTATGTTTTTATTTGCTAAATTTGGCAACCCTAGTGAGACAGATAAAGTTACCAACTCAGCAGAAAAGGGAAAGAAGAGTCTTAGTTTGAGAGAAAAAGGACAATTGTTCAACCTAGGGAAGAATTAGTTCAGATAGAAGGAAAACCTGGGGGAGGGTAACTTCAAGGGAAAAGTGGAATTTACAGATTATGCAGTTTGATAGATGTGTGAAATTACAAGGAGAGGCTATTGAAAATTGTGGAAAAACTATGCAGATGGAACTAAATTGGACATTTGTTGATTCTGAGGGAAAAACAATAGGAAAAATACGTGGGTAAAATATTATAATCCTCAGGTGTGAATAATATTTGCAGAGTCATAGTAAGGTAATTACAAAATATTGATTTAATCAAAAAGTTAAAATAGTGGGAAATCTATGATTAACACACCCTGAGCTCTCTTGACTTATGATATAATGTGAGAGACCCCCACCGGGATCTAATGTACAGCATGGTGATTATAGCTAGTAATACTGTATTATATACTTGAAAATTGCCAAGAGAGTAGATTTTAAGTGTTCTCACCACAAAAAAGAAACAGTAATTACGTGTGGGGATGGAGGTGTTAGCTAATACTAGGTGGTAATCATTTTGCAATACATAAGTGTACCAAATCAAGTTTAAGGCATTGTATACCTTAAACTTACACAATGTTACATGTCAATTATATCTCATTAAATCTGGGGCAAAAAAAAAGGGACTCCATCAGGCACACAGCCTGCTTCTCAAAGAAGAGGTAATTCTCTTTCCAGTTGTCAAAAGTGTGTGCGTGGGGAATGGTACTGGAGGGAGCTGAGGGGTGGAGCAAGGAATCCCTGTTTTTTTCTTTTTTTTTAAATTGTAGCAGAATAATATATTTAACATAACCTTTACCATTAATGACTTTTAGTACATGCACAATATTGTGCAATCAGCACCTCTATCTAGTTCCAAGACATTCTCACCTCTCCAAAAGGAAACTCCACACCCATCAGCAGTCACTCCTCAATCCCCCCTCCCCCAGCCCCGGGCAACCACTAATCTATTTTCTGTCTCTGGACAGATTTACCTGTTCTGGACATTTCATATAAATGAAATCATGCAATATGTGGCCTTTTATGGCTGGCTGCTTTTACTTAAATTACGTGCATGTGCGTCTGTGGAAAAAAAAAATAATTATGACAAAAGAAAGCTAACCCATGCAAATATCTTACCACCGTGCCCAGCATGCAGGGAGTGTGGGTTCGTGAGGTTCTAACGTTTGGTCCTTTTCTTCTATGCTCAGGGCTGTGTCTGGGGCAGGTGACACAAGCTCAGAACGGTGAGTCTTAATCCCTCTTCCGGGTTCAGCCCCTGCGAGGGCAGGAGCGGGTGAGAGGGTCCAGAAGGAGGGGTCTGTTGGGAAGATGACCTCTGCTAGGCTCTGCTTCCTTTCCAGGCCCACTGCCCAAGCCCTCCCTCCAGGCCCAGCCCAGCCCCCTTGTGCCCCTGAAGAAGCCGGTGACAATCCGCTGCCTGGGGCCTCCGGGTGTGGACGTGTACCGCCTGGAGAAACTGAGAACCGGAGAGTACATGGACCAGGCCATCCACGTCATTCCGGCCATGAGAACAGACGACGCTGGACGCTACCGCTGCTCCTACCAGAATGGGACCCTCTGGTCACCCCCCAGTGAGCAGCTGGAGCTGATTGCTACTGGTAAAGGAGGGGAGGAGGTGGGATGTGGCTGGATGTGTGGCCTGAGGGCTACACGGTCCTCAGTTCTGGGCTCAAAGAGGGTGAGAACTGGGATGCCCACGATAGTAAATCTGAAGTCCCACTGGGGCAGGGATTGGGGGGGGCAAGAGAGCGCTGGCCTTGAGTGCTAAATTTAGGGGCGGTTCCCAGAAAACTCGTCAATCAACATAAATAATATGCTGAGGCAATTTTTTAAAAAAAAATCAAAATTAACTCAAGAACATCCACAATGAACAAATATGACGATTTTCCGTAAAGACAGGCTCCAACAGTGCTGTGCCAAGCCACAGCCGAGCCTGGCACAAAAGGAAAAATGTACATTCCTCTGTTCACATTCTTTTTTTTTTTTTTTTAAAGATTTTATTTATTTATTTTTCCCCCAAAGCCCCAGTAGATAGTTGTATGGCATAGCTGCACATCCTTCTAGTTGCTGTATGTGGGACGCGGCCTCAGCATGGCCGGGAAGCGGTGCGCCGGTGCGCGCCCGGGATCCGAACCGGGGCCACCGGTAGCAGAGCGCGGGCACTTCACCACCAAGCCACGGGGCCGGCCCCTCTAATGCATTTTTAAATGGTTATTTTCCGCAGCAGATTTTGAAAATATCATTGATGAGTTTTCTTCTGTGAAAGCCAGGAGAGTAAAATGATAACAAATTCTGTGTTTTTTTTTTGGTATAAATAAAATATTTAAACTTAAAATAATGTTGCATACTTTAATAACTTTCTTTAAAAATTTTCAATATTTTTTTCAATTATGTTAATAGTATGGAAAAAATTAACCATAAAAATACATAAAAATGTGTATGGAGGGGCGCATAGATTCCTTTTTGCCTCAAGCTTCAAACAGCTTTGCTGGGCACAGTTGGATTCTGTCTTGGTTTAAAATCTTGATATTTTATTTTTTAT